TGGACATTTATCAAGCTTTGAACACGTTTTGGAACTTTACAAAGTTGTTACCAAGTTATTGAGTTTGAACGTTTTTACAAAGCTTTTACAAAAGTTTTTGATGCTTACAAACTTTCTACAACGTTTCGGATTTTTTCACTCTGTGTCAAAACTTTGTAAACTTTATTCGTTGAAAACTTTGCAAAACGTTGTAAACTTTGTAAGAACTTTGTGAACTTTGTAAATACTTTGTAAATTTGTAAAAGCTGTGTAAACTTTGTAGAAACTTTGGTGAAATTCTAAAACTTTGTAAACGTTCAAAACTCTGCAACAACTGTGTAAAGGTTGAAAAAACTTTGCAAACGTTGTCAAAACTTCGTAAACTGTTGTTAAAATTGTAAACTTTTTAAACACTGAAGCACTTTAAAATGCGTAAACCTTTGTAAAAACTTTGTACACTTTGTAAAACTGTGTAAAAAACTGCGAAAACTTTGTGTAAAAAATTGTAAAATGCGAAAACTTTGTCAAAACTTTGTCAAAACTTTGTGAACTGTGTCAAAAAGTTTGTAAACATTGCAAACTTTGTACACTTTGTACTAACATTTTGTAAACTTTGTAAACAACTTTTAGATGTTGTAGGACTTCGTAACACTTTGCGAACTTTGTAAAATGTTTTTAAACTTCGTAAACTTTGTCAAAACATTGTAAACATTTTGAAAGACCTTGTGAACGTTGTGAAAACTTTGTAAACTTTGAACACTTTGTAAATTTCCTAGAAACTTTGTACAAATTGTGAAACTGTACAAACTTTGAAAAAACTTTGTAAAATGTAGAAAGAAACTTTGTAAACTTTGTCGAAACTCTGTAAACTTTGCAAGACTTCGTAAACTTGGCAAAATCTTTGTAAACTTTCCAAAATCTTCAAAACTTTGTAGACTTTGTAAAAACTTTGTAAATTTGTGTAACAAAAGGCAAATGTCGCAAACTTTGTCAGAACGTTGTAAACTTTGTAAAAACTATGTAAACTTTGTAAAAACTGTGTAAACTATGTAAACTTTGTAAAACTTTGTAAAGTTCTATGAAAGAAGTGTTTTTGCACGATTTTTTGCTTAAAAAGAAGTATTTTCCATGTCATTTGTTGTAAACAGAAGTGTTTTTCACCAGCCATTTGTAAACTTTGTAAAGACTTTGTAAACTTTGTAAAAACTTTGCAAACTTGAAAAACTTTTGTAAACTTTGTCAAAACTTTGTAAAAACCTTGTAAACTGTGAAAAAACTTTCTAAAATTGAAAAACTTGTGTAAACTTTGTAAAAACTTTGTAAACTTTGTAAAAACTTTGTAAACTTGAAAAAGCTGTTGTAAACTTTGTAAAAACGTTGTACAACTTTGTAAACTTTGTAAAAACTTTGAAAACGTTGTAAACACTTTGTGAGACTTTGTAGACTCTGTAAAAATTGAAAAACTGTGTAATTCCAAACTTTGCAAGAACTTTGTTAAATTCCAAAGCTTTGTAAAATCGTTGTAAACGTTCAATACTGTGCAAAAACTGTGTAAACTGTATAAGTAAATACTGTGTAAAGTTTGCAAATGTTTGTACTTTTTGTAAAAACTCCAGGTAAAAATTGTAAAATGTGCAATCTTTGTAAAAGTTTTACAAACTTTGTACAAGCTTTGTAAACTTTCAATACTTTGCAAAACTGTGTAAACTTTGTAAAAACTTTGTCAACATTGCAGCAACATTGTAAAACTTCCAATACGTCTTTAATTGATTTTTTAATGGTAAAACCTTTGTAAACTGGGTAAACTTAGGAAATTGTTCAAAACTTTGTAAACTGTGTAAAAATATTGTAAAACTTTGTAAACTTGGTAAACGGTTGTAAAACTTCGCAAACTTCATGAAATCTGTGTAAAACTTTGTAAACTTTGTACCAACTTTGAAAGCTTTGTAAAAACGTAGTGAACTTGGTATAAACTTGGTAAACTTTGTCAACACTTTGTAGACTTTGTAAAACATTTTTAAACTTTGTCAAACTTTGTAAGCTTTGTCAACCTTTAAACTTGTAAAACTTTGTAAGAACTTGGTAAAACTTTATTAAGACGTTGTAAAATTCGCAAACTTTGTAAAAAGGTTTACAAACCTTTTACGAAGTTTTGGAGTTCATCAAATTATTCTTCAAAGTTAGAGCAACGTTTTACACAGTCTTTAGAACGTTTACAAAGTTATATATTTTTACAAAGTTATACAAAGTTTACAAAACTTTCGCAAAGTCTTAAGAATTTGTACAAAGTTTGCAACTTTTGCAAAGAGTTGACAGAGTTGTTGAATTACAAACAAATTTACAAAGGTTTACAACGTCTACAAAGCTTTTACCGTGGCCGTTCACTCACTACTCACGAGACAAACAAACCTATGAAATAGTCCTTTGGGTCTCGTATGTTGCCACTAACAACGCAAAAAACAAGACGTGTTTTATACCCTCTCTTAGTTCTGAACAACCAATTCTTCAGAGGTCCGCAAGGGTCAAAAACACTTCTTCTGCGCTAATTCCCCCGAAACAACGAACGACGGTCCCCAAGCAACTTAACAACTGCGGGATACCTTGAAGCTTATATCATATATCATTATATCTAGAAAGAGAGCCCAAAGTTCTACTCTAATCCTTAAGCTGCAATCGCAAGTCCTATAACAGCGGCTCTGAGTCCTAATCTGTAGTCCACACAAAACCGGGCAATTTGATGGTTTGTAATCCGTAATCCTCCTTAGGATTAAGATGGATTAAGGATTACGTTTGATGAGGCCAGATTAAATAGGTATATGGACGGTATGGAAGATGTCAGTGACATTCCGCACGACCCTTTGCTGCTGTTTCTGTGACAAATCACCAAATCGCTTCTTTTTGGGCGCCATCGTGGACTAGGATGCACACACCAAAAAATGGTTTAAGCTTACGCATGTTTACGCACTGCTTACGTGCGGCTTACGCGCACGTTTTTGCGTAAATTGCTCCCCAAATCATGAGATATGACCGATGGAAAGCACGTACCTGCGCCACCCTGGTGTGACTTTTCATGCCATTTCGTGAAATTGCATTCTTTTATCATCGTTTGGCGGAAGACATGTCTTCCAAAAACTGTCGTTTCACATCGCCCCTCCCTTTTAAGATGTGCAGTGTATTGTCTTGTTTGATCTTGGTTGTTTGGTTGTTTGTCTTGTTTGTTTGATTGTTTGTTTGAGTTTTCGCGATCTGTTGCGCCGTTGTTGCGTTGTTGTGCGCCGTTTCGCGAGAGGCATGTGCTGGCTGCTTGAACATATGTCCTCTGCTCGCCTTGTGGTCACATCATTGTTGAAACAACTAATATTTTGACATCCTTTTGAGAACGCAGGTATACATAGAGTATATCAAGTCATGCCACGTACTTGCACAATGCTGGAAAGCCTCTCACGGCTACAGAAAAAGAGCTGCACAAAGGCACAAAGCCATAATCATCTATATGCACACGATTAAACCATAAGCGGATCCTGCAATAGCAACAGCGCAAATCAAATATTCAACATAATAATCATGCTTACTCACTGCTTACGCACACTGCAATGTCATCATAAGCTTACGCAACCTTACGCAACTCAGAGTTTTACTTATATGCAAACTGCTCTTATGTCCGGGCCTTGACAGCTGATCTAAAGACTTTAGCTCTCCACCCGAAGAAGGGTGGATCCACAGGGTGGATCTCACGAGCTGACACCCCCCATGTTCCCTGCTACATGTCGATGGTAATTTTCATGTGTGAGATTTCTCTGACCTCTGCATGTGCTGGGCAGAAACCACCGGGCTATGCAGAACAACGAGTTCCGACGAGTTCACGGTCCCCCCACCCCGGTCGTTGGGGCTTCCGGGCGTGACGGTGAAGGTGGAGCCTTTGCCCACCTGGCTCGACTCGGAGTGCCTTTTCCGAGTCTTCCGACCTCTCGTTGGGGCCCGGTTCGGTGCCAAAGTGGTGGTCTGTGGGGGTCGCCGTCGGCTCGTGCGACCCCATGCGACCCACTCCGAACGGCTGGCCGTCGTCGCCATCGTCCCAGCTCGACTCAATCGAAGGTGCCAAACGCCTCGCTCTGCACCGTGAGGTTGCCTGGTGACAGGCGGAAAGACAAAGTCGGACTTGAGAGCACTGGTTTTGGAAAGGGCAGTAGTGTTCCAAGGGTCTGTTTTCAGGTTCCATGTGATGCTTCAGGGCCAGAAAGAATTTCGGCTTTGCCAAAGAAAATGCATACAAAGCACCCCTGCATCAATCAAACACAGAATTGGACACCTTGAAAGAAAGTTAACTGCTGGTGAATAAACTCAGGCTTGCCTGGTCAACATGTAAATTGCATGACTTGCATCCCGGACAATGTCTTGTACTATTATCACAGTTGTCCCCAGAAATGGTCTATATAGACCCTTCTTGCCAAAGCATATGGGATGATTCCTCTTTGTCAAGCAACACCTCCCCCCCAAAAAGAATTGCCCCAAGCGGCTTCTTTCGTAAGCGGCTTCGGTGTTGGGTCTTGGGCGACAGCTGGGTGCTCGCCCTGGGACGGCTTTCCCTAGCAATCTCGAGCAGCAAACTGAAACCCAAACAAATGCGGCTGGCCGTGGAGAAACACGCCTGATATAAAAACCAAAGCACATACGTAGATCGAACAACAAATCAACCATTGAAACAGAACCACTCCCGCAAAACAACACGTCTCAATGAATGTGGATTGTTGATGTACGTGGGCCCCGTGGGCTTCTTTTGGAGTGGAGCCCTTCTCCTTTGGCGCTTTGCGGCTAAAGGATGCTAAAGGGGACATCTGCCACCTCACCACTTCACGAGATCAGGTCACCAGTCACGGAGTCTGAACCACTCACTCACAGTCTTGAACCACTGACTCATACGGATCTGAGCCATTTGGAGCCCCTAAAACAGCCACAAAGTTCACACACGACTCGGCCGGGAGGTTGACCCAGCCTAAACGATACTCTTCATTGTGTCCTCTTCATCTCTGCCCAGTGGTCATCGTGGTCATGTCATGGTCCCGCGCTGGAAAAAAAACGCGTCCACCACCCATCCACGGGCCTCCGTGTTTCACAGCCACTTCCCGGGAGATGGCCAAGCCTAAACCCATGCCCTCAAACTGGCGATTGTCGTCTTGGTCCTGGGCCGAGGACTGAGTCAGCCGTCTCCCAAAAGTTGGAAGACTCGACCGGAACAGCACTGGGGAAAAACAGAAAACACATGTGAAAATTCCAGAAGTGCAATCATTGACTGCATGCACCTTCAACTGAACAAATCTCTGTCAAAGTACAGACCAAGCCGTGCTTTGACCAAAAAGCCTAATAATCATAGACACCTTACATATCTGTCTCAGGGAGTCCAAGCAAAACCAAGTGCTCACAAAAGAAATTATGGCAAGCATCTCAACATAGGAAAGCAACTCCATTTGGGCCACTATATGCGAGTTTCGGACTAAAGGGCCCAACTTCCAGATGTTCCTCCAATATTGGCAATAGGGCTGCAATTGTCTCAAGGAAGGCTCCTCTTGCTCAAAGGGCAGAAAGACTCGCTCACAAGCAGCGGGCGAGATTCCGATGCCTCTGCCAGAAGTGGGGTCGGATACCGCTGATGGTTTCGTATCTTGTAAAGTCGGGATTGATCAACCTCCCCTATAATCCAACCCACAACATCCTTAATTCTTCCATGAACAAGTTTGTCGGTGTTAGAACCCCCCGGGTTGTCTTCGAGCCACACAACGGGTCCATGTTTTAAGCAAATTTTAATAACCGGGAGTTTTTTAATCACACCACCACCCACATCTGCGTCTGTTGCGACTAATCTCCTATTGAATTCATCAATCAAGCCATGCTGATGGATAACGCCGCTCTCATATTTCTTCTCAAAAGGCCTGCCAGTCCAGGCCAGTTATATATCTTATGACTGCTGCTTGGCAAATCGTGTTCCAAATTTACAAATTCCAGAACATGTGTGTAGGCCTCAGTTTACATAGCTTTCCGTGTAAGAAACACAAAGCAACCAATCATTTGAGAATCTCACAAAGTGTACCCTCACAATGGCTAGTACACCTATATAAATAAACACTGTTTCCCCTTAATTTGATCCTGTGTCCCTGGCCTTTTTTGGTGGGTTGTTTCTTATGTATACAGACTACACACCTTTTGCAAAACATCCCTTTGAATCGTTCTCTCCTCCAACCCTTTCACTACTACTAACGAAATACTAAAACACAATTTCTACTACTAGCTTACCACCACCACCAGCACCAGCAGCAGCACCACCACCACTACTATATCAACCTTCCTGTCAGATTGTTCAGGGCAATGGACTCGACCCCAGGAATGGTACTTCAAGCGCTGTTGGTCTTGTAGAGGGGGCGGGGTTTATAAAAGCATGGTTTGCATTCTGTTCTAAAGTCTCTCTGCTGTCGTGGCCTGTGAGGGTTCTAGAGTTCAATGGCCAAGAGCGATGCACAATCTTTTTGGTCCATTATTAACAAAGGCCCCTTCGCGCAATTAGATTTAAGTTTACGAGCATCCCACCAAACAAAAAAAACATGTTTAGATACAACTAGAAACCTGTCAAGTATGCTAAGCCGAGACATAGTTCTACACGTGTTCCAATGTGTGGATTTTACATGGTTTTACAAGGGACACACACAAATTATGCAACGTCATCTAACATGATCAACACAATCCTCCATAGCGCGGTTTTCTCCCTACAGAATCGCCAGAAAACCCACTGCAAACACTAAACCTTGAAACAGTTGGTACCCTCCTCGGGTCCCACCCCTTGCAAAATCTATGCGCCCGGCCGGTGTCCCTCACGTGCACCGTGAGGATCTCCTTCGCGTCATCGGCCCGCGCCATGACCTGCGGCGCGAAGAACGCTGGGAGCAGCGAACAGGTTCGCCTGCGCTCGCAAGGTCCTTTGCTTGTCAATGGTAGTATATTGAACCATATACAGTGTTCTCTAACGCATCTCCCTCTCTCTCTGTATTGTGTGATATTGTGTGTATTGTATTCCGATATATTGAGGCTGGCAGGCACGAATGTGATCTTCAAACAGAAATGTCCAAAAGCTAAACAAAGGATACAACGAGGGCTTTGAGGCGACAAATCTGGGCCCCTTCCTTGCACATAGCAATGTGCTTTCTTGGCAAAGCATGGCTCCTCCGCAATTATGTTTCATGTTGCAAGGCTTTTGCGTGCGTCCTTTGCGTGCTATTTACAGGAGTGGACCCGCTGACCCGGGTTTGGAATTTACAAAGCGGGTGAGGGAAGGCAGTGTTTTTTTAATGCACATCATGTGAAGGGCGGAAGTATTGACTCCACCGTCACACCTGCGGTCACACCTGCGTTATACAAGTCACAAAGGAATCCCATCACTACCTGAAAAGCCCTTCAAACACATCGGCCATACCAAAGCGAACACCTCCAGAAACTAGGGCCTGGAGAAAGCCTACTCAGCTTGCAAAGAAAGGGAGTATGTCACTATTAGTGACATACTCCCTTTTCTCTGCAAGCTGTGGACTCTGTCAAAACACTCTGGGAACACTTGGTTTTGTATTTTTTGGTTCGACACTGATTTGGAACACTCTGGGCACACTCTCCTTTACATGGATTCCTCTTAATGATTGTCTCAAAGCCTGCAACTGGTTTCAACCGTTAAAGCATGAGAAAACAGACGGAGCCTTCGGCAATTAAAAAGTCAATCGTAAATACATATATATATATCCATCGCCTTCTCGAAGAGTTATATATATATAAACATTGGCTGCAAACGTGGGGAGCACGACACGAGTCTTAAACGCGGAGCCTGCCAGTGTCTCTGTGAAGGTGTGAATGTTTTTTTTTTCTGCATTATAAGACAGGTTTGAGAACCATATTTTGTTGAAACATGCCCCTCAAAATGTGTAGGTTGGACATACCAAATGTTCACAAAGTTGAGCTGTTTTCATCTCACCAGCCAATGTGCAGCTCTTTTGTGTTTTTGCAAATGTATTTTCAGGTGAACCATTGCCGTGGAGCTTTTTACACTGTACATGACAGTACATATGCATGTGCAAGGCTTTGTTCAAACCCTGGATGTTGCCACAATTCAACGCATCATGTGGCGTAACACATGCTTCCCATGCCTTCTTCCGAAGAAAAAGAACACGAGAGGTCTCAAGTCCCTTTGCAAACCTGGTCTCTTGTTTAGAGCTGCAAGCCCAACCCCACCCCACCTCACCCCTATCCTCTTCATAGATAACACCAATCTACATAACATCACAACATCATGTTCATAGACGGACTCAGAACTGATCTGTTGGGATGCACCAGCAACAAAATCCTGCGTGACAAAAAGGGGTGGCCAGCACCATCCTCTGCCATTGGCACACCTCGACCACGCCCTCCTTGGTGTACTTGAAGGCCTCAGGGACTTGCGTGAACATCACGTGGCCAAGGACACACAAGTCATGGCGGTCTTTCGTCAGGTTTCGTCAATAGCAACATCCGAAGCCCTTGACAAGCGCCATCAAAAGCCCTTGACTAGTACCCGACTGCCATTTGGCAACGGTAGCGTGCAAGGGTTTCCAACTCATCCCCTGCCATGGTTATCCCTGTTGCTCTGTACTTTTCTCACCAGGACTTGCTTTGTCGATGGTGAATTTCGTAATATATCTTGGGCATGTCATATCCCAATACCAGTACTAGTGGATGATGATGGTTAGTAAAGACCTTTCTCTGGAAATCGTGATATATAATTGTCTAATTTGCCAACTGTTATACAGGTATTGGGACAAACCCAAACTATATCAAACTAATATGTCGCACTACAGTATTTGCCGGCTTTTCTCTATTTGGCAGGATTTCTTGAATCAGCCGTGTCGAGGATTCAGATCAACCGTTCTCTTTACTGATCTTTACCAGAATCTTCCAGATTCCAAGATAAAAATAAGTCTTGCTTTCCTAGTTCGGTCATGAAAATTGCAGATATGGATCTGCTACCTCTTCAGGTTGCCGGGAGTGCTCAAAAACGCCCAAACGATCGGTTGTCGCTCGGATGCCCGACTCCTCCACCGAAAACGCGTCACGACGGTCCCTGGGTACAGGGCATTCGTCACCAAGTTGTAGAGCATCTGCATGCACCGGTGGGCATCCGCCTTCCGTGGCCCATTCTTCGGAAAGGACGGACGACACCGATTTGACTGAAGCCCCCGGAAAGATGTCCCTCACTGCCGCCTTCCCCAAGGATTCCTTGGATAAGGGGATGAGGATGGGTTGTGGAAAGCCTTGACTATCCTTGACTTCTGAACCCGAAGACTTGAAGAAAACCAGTTATATATATATATAAGGTAAACCAATCCTTTTTGCGCATCTGGTTGATCCAGGGAAACGCCGGGCCGCGGCCGGCCAGCACATGCCAGCACATCCACCTAAGTGCCAGTTGGGGACCAACGTGGGACGTCCGTGGGCGGACAGGGGGTAGGCCATCCTAGGATAAAAAACCATTCAACCTGGATGCCGTCCAATTTCTGGGTTAGTAATGTAGTCGTGATTGATAATAACGTCCCGAATTTGGACTGGAAGACCTCTTCATATTAGGGTCTTTAATTAGTCTGCATTAGCTTGCCTCAGGAAATCATGCGGTGATCCTGTCTTCGCTTGAACGAGAAGATCAACCTGGTCTTCGTCGTAGAAAGGTCAAGGACTCGACACCACTCATTGCTCTCCTTGCTGGTGATCACAGCCGTGACTGCCAGATTGCTCCGGTCTTCATTTCAGTATGCCTGTGAGACTCGTTCTAAATGCAATGGGTTGGAATGATCGCAGGGCATCCTTGAGGCTTAATTGCGCGATTGCTGCTCAAGGAATCAAGGAGCATCGGAGCATACATGTTTATAATGCCAAACATGCGCTATGTGTACAATTCTGTATATACATGATTGTATGTTTTGTGATATACATGATGATATTGATTGCACTAAGACATGGTGGCATACCAATCTTGGCCCATGTTGGCATTGCACTTTCTGGCCTGGGGGCGATGTTGCGATGTGAGGTCGTGCTGGGTTGCACTGAGCTAAATCACTGGAACACAAGGAGCCCAATAGCGTCCTTGCTCCTACGTCCGTAAGGCCAGGAGCCCCGTTCGTAGCGTCCTTGCTCCTAGAAGCGATGCCCTTTGCTCCTAGTAGCAAAAGGAACCATACGCTGACCACCCCATCTGAGAACCTTTTCCAATGTCCTGGATAGGCCCCTGTCCAACTCCCACCTCGATGATAGGCAACCTGGGTGGCGCAGCCGCGGGAAGTGGTGATCGTGGACTGCACATTGCAAGTCAAACTGTTGAGGAAATAGTTGTCCTACCTATTATACCTAATTTGATGGTTGCTCATAGCTCCGCCAACGTTCCTCTTTCTCGCAACTGGGAAAATACAACTGACACATTTAATTAGATTGATATATATATATATATGTTTTTAATTAATCTATTTATTATTTATTTGTGTGTATTTATATTATGTTTACCCCCAGGATCCCCCAGGTTGCCTGCCCAAAGGAGAACCTATTCCAGTGTCTGCCGAGTGCTGTCATTTGGACCCGTCTTGACCTGGTGTTTTGCGGTGAAAAGGGCGGACCCGAAAACACCGTTCGCCGGACCCGGACCCAATCGATCTTGGAGACTCCGCCGAAAGCTGGTGCTTTCAAGCCGAACCCTGAAACAACAAGTGAAACAGGTGACTCCGAAAGCCCAAATCGACTGCGACAAATCCTTACATGGAGGAACAAATCCCAACGAATCACATCGAATCAATGATCCCTTCGAGGACATGTGAGAATTAATCACACATCCTGGAACCGCTGGATAATCCATGAACGGCTTATTTGGCACACTTAGCCTAGTCGCTGGTCCGGCACGTCAATGATGAGCCGCACCGTGTCCTTCTTGATGGGGCGCTTTGCCTCTGGAAGGAGGCGCCGTGTCCACGGCGCCTTGTGCCCCGAGTTCGGATGGGCACATCAAACCAAAGAGGTGGTGAACTCACTCCACGAAACCATGTGATGTGTGTGTATATGAGGACCTCCATGTCAGAACACGTCTTTTCAACCAACACTTGTAAGTTGAACTCTGAAAAAGTGTAGAGTTGCCCCATCTTGGGTTGTTTGTAAAGGACCCTACCAGTGACCTTGGATGATTTCTGAAGCTCCACAGGCCATGATCGACAGACCCAACCAGCGATCATGAGGTGACCAGGTCCTACCACGTGTTCTGGTTGGCCTTTACCAGGTTGTTGGGCTTTGATGATCACGCAGTACAACAAGCACGACAAGTACAACGTGCGCAAATGTGGGCGGCCTCCATTAAACAAAGCAATACATCTACCCCTCAAGAAGTGCAGTAGGGATTGGCCTCCCACATGCAAATGCATACAATGCGTTTGCCATTGTTGTAGTTTCCTTTCTAGTTGGCCAGGACAGTCAATGTGGCATTAAACACATTGCACAACCTTCCTTCAAAATGGAATCCCAAGATGCCCTACAGAACAGTACAGCGCTTGACATTTAGTTTGGCCCGGAAAGGCAGTGTTTAGTCTGTTGTCCGCCGTGCTCCTCATCCAGTGCTCTCTCTTCTCTATTGAGATGCTCTGCATTCCCGCAATCACAGGCTGTTCTGCCAAAAGTGCCCGTCCGCCTTGTCTACGGCGGAGGATAGGAGCACCTGCACCTGAACTTTACGCGGAAAACTGAGTCGTGATATTTGCCATGCTTTTACGGAAGGTACTGCACATAAAGTGTTGCAAATGTCGTTTGTCCTCGCTACTGCGACTCATGGGATGCACACAAGGAGCCTATGTGTTTCCTGATGTCTCCTGTTCTTTTTGTGTGTTTGATTAGTGTTTGGATGGTTTTGGGGTATTATTTGTCCAGAGTTCCCTATTGTTATGATTTCTTATCTACTTGATTGATTGTGACATGGTGAACATGCTGTTGATGTTTGTCTCTGTGCCGCCCTAAAGGCAAAGCAAAACATGGACATTATGACATCATGGTGACACTGTTCCTTGGAGGCACGCACAGCATATCCGATCATACTGTTGGTAGATAAAGCCCAGCACCACCTCACCAGTGCACCCCACGCACGCATCATGCCGGAGACCATGCAGAAAACGGCGGTACGTCTCTGACGGTGTGATGAAGTGCAGGATGCCTTCAATTTGTTTGTGTTTCCTCACTGCCCCTGATGAACCTTGGAGATTCAATTTGCTTGTGTTTTGTCACTGTCCGGTCCAAATGTTTAAGAAGGAGAACGGGGGCAGCAAGAAAAGTGTGCACACAACGGCACAATATTTTGTCCATCAGCCGTATCATGCCATATCAGAAGTTCGACACTTTGGTGCGTTGGTCACTGCACTCTATGATTGGCATATCTGAAAAAATTGTCGTTTCTGCCGTAGGACCCAACACTTACGCTAGACGTTGATGCTGTCTTAGCAGCGTTTGGTTTTTGGTTCAAAATGAAGGGGTTGCTTCGGCAATGGGTGATGCTGCTGTCGGTGTGTGTGTGTGTGGAAAATTGACAACTCAACTCAACCTTTAAGACTAGGATGCCATTATTCAGAGCTCATTCCCAACTGATGTTTGCTGATGGGTCGTCTTTCAGGAGCACTTTACCTGGTAAAAAAATTACCACACACTTCTCACCGAAGTCACACATTTTGCAACAAACGTAAATATTCATCCTCAAGTGGGTGACATTTAAACAGTTCAATCATGCGACCTTCAACTTCAGAAACGTAGATATAACTGATATAACAACACACTTTCTTAGCTTTCTTTTAAACTTGTGTTCGGACAGAAAGAAACGGTCAGTTTTGTCTTTGTTGGCTTGTGGGTTGCTCCCAAATGCCCCAGCAAAGGCACATTGTTAGCTTGCGGATTGCTCCCAAATGCTTCGGCAAAGACCCATTGCTAGTTTGTGGGTTGCCCCAAAATGCTCTAGAAGAGACAAATGGTTGGCTTGTGGATTGCTCCCACATGCTCCAGATGTAACCTCAAACATTTACAATTATCATGCCCATTAGGCCCTCCCCCCACAAAGAAGGAAATAATGTAAGAATATCAGAATGTCTCCTCCAAATACGTCTCCCACAATGCACAATGCGGTACATAACACATAGAATATCAGAATGTATCCATCAAATAGGAACAAATGCGAGAAAGTTACTTAAGTAAATTCTAGATTCAAACAATGTCAAAATATGCAATTATTGTTACACAAAAATGCCTCTTCGTGCACAAATGGCTGCAGAAACACAAGCTCACAAAAGAAATTCAACACAAACATAAACAAACACTCGCACCACAAAGATCACGTTCGCAAAACGCCAGACTTTGAACAACATATTCCATATTATGTACCCCTGAACATATTCCAAGTACCCTTTTTGAGATTTCAATCATCTGCCCCCCTAAAAATTATGGAACGTCCAAAATATATTCTATCTACTTGAGGAAGATTAACTATTAGTATGTGACTCCTGCTTGACTGGACCTATGGCCTACCGAATGGGTGAAACTGAAAGGCAGTAGCCACTCAGTAGCCAGGCCCTAGGAATGTCTAAGCAAACTTAGTCTGCAGGATATGTTGTAAGATCCCGAACTGCAATTGATCCAGCGGACCTTTCAATGGAAACCTAGATCGCCTGGGAAATGATTGCCAACACCATTCTTTGGATTCGTGGTCTTGGAGTCAAACAGTATGATGATGTATCATGAACACAACATACTCAGGTTACTGACAGATCCTGGACGCCGAACCACACACTCACTCCGAAACGCAGCATCCGGCAGAGACGCTGCTCGCCCGAACGCCCGCAGCGGCCCGGTGACGCGCCTCCTCAATGAGTTTGCCCATCTGCACCGGATCCCTGGCCCGGTGAAGCCGAGACACCGCGTTGCCGTGCGGGATCATGTTTGTTCGGTGTTCGGGACGCTGTTCAGCAGCGGCTAGCGGCTAGCGGCGATGTTTGAAGCTGACGGTTGAATACTTCGCTATCACCAATGTCGGAGGATAGTGCACCACCATTGGATGTTGCTGAATCAAAGTCAAGTTGTTCGTATTAGTCTCTTGTGGCAAAGCAAACAGTCCCCACCGTGAAACTGCTCTTGAGGGGAAAGCAACAACACTGAGAAGACCAAACTGCTGCCGAACAGTCACATGCCTCCTCATCATGTTTCATTCCCCTTAGTGATTAGTCATGAGTGCGCAACGAGTGTTCTCCAGCCCGCATGGAAATGTCTCAACACGGAACCTCAAACCAAGCTTCTCGGTATACAGTGGATGATTTCTTTTTATTAAGATAATATGATTGAGGCTAGGCATCGGAACCTCACAACATGATGTCAATCCCACTGTCAAATCCCCATCCGAACCGCACTCGCCCCGCAAGGCGCGGCATCCGATTGATCCCTCATGCACCTCGCGAGTCGCAAGCGTTTGCTCTGCACCAGTGTTGACCTACTGCCGACCGGTGTGCCGAAGTTGTGTGATGCCACCGGTCAGTCTGGATCCAAGATGGACTCAAATGCGAAAACGACACGCCAGAAACAAGTGTCGTCAACACTTGACATTCTAATTCAACTGAACAAATTGGTGGACATGACAAATGTACCTGCTGTCGACTCTGTTTCTCCTCTCTCCATGAAGTTTGCCGGCTACGGCAAGCTACCGTGATCCTTGAGAGTGACAAGGAAGCCAATGTGCCCCTGTTTAGACCTGTTTAGGCAAGGTGAAACAAACCAATTGACATGCGAATGATCTGCGGGATTTTGTACATTTAAGATCATTTGAGCATATTTAAGCCACTGTCAAGTAGGGTTTTCAATGGTGTGTGGCGCCCATAAGCACATAAACAGCTTGGTACATCCATAATCACATCCAAATCCACCAGCAACAACTTTAAGTCACGTCAAAATAACTGCCGTGCCTTTGGAGGAAATCGTCTTCAAAAGGAGCACTTCGCACTAGTCTTCGAAGGTCTTCAAAACATGGATTTCGGTCGACTTCCACCAAGTCCAAGTCAATCAAGGCCATGCATCAAGTGAACAAAAAAAAGGGCGAAACGAGACGTCTTCCAAACCCGCATTTGGTACAAGACACCCTCCAAACGTGAAGCGGAAAGTCTCATCAAAGCTTCACGCCTTACGCAGCCCTGCCAAGCAGGGCAAACAATCCAAATCCCTCTTCCAGAGCAAAACCCTGGCATGCCAATCGAGCAAACATCGCAACCTCGACTTGCACGAATCGGACATCTGTTATCCATCCATCGATCTCCTCCAAAAGCTTCCTGGCCGAAACACGCATGTCAACTCGAAGTCAACACGGAGTCGGCGAAAGCAGGTCCAGCCCCAGCCTGCGATCAACGGGAACGCTGCGCTAAACACATAATCCGTCCGTATCACTCCATCCAGTCCACATCACTCCGTCCAACCCCCCGATCGGTGGCCGCTTTCCCCTCGGGCGGCGACAGGTCCATGATGTTCATGACCAAGTCGAGCAGGCGACGAGCGCAGTGGCTGATCCTCAGGCGAAGTCGTTTCAACGTGTCTTGTTCTGTCAGGGCCAAACGCCTCCCAATTCCCACAGGCTGGGTCTTGGCATATTGTATATTGTATATACAGTATATAGACACATCGTATAGAATTTCATACAGTATATAGACACATCGTATAGAATTTCATACAGTATCAAGTCTTCCAAAGGCAGGTTATATATATATATATATTGATGCTGAAGCTGGACTGCTGCTGCTGCTGCTGCTGCTCCAACTACAATTGTAGCAACAGCCTCCAGACCAGCTTCGCTCGCGAAGCCGCGAATCTGGGCAGCACGCAGCAAGGACGCAGCATGAATCGGGACATGAGATGATATGATATGCTTGCAGGTTGTTCTTCAACTCCCACACGCTGACTGAAGGCAAACCGGAGACATCAAGAAGTGTACGGAGCCGCCGGAGGCCGCCGGAGGCCCTCCACAGTGGATCCGCTGCAGACCGGTCCAAGAAGATCCAAGAGGAGGCCTACGGGCCTAGCCGAAGTGCAGCTCTGCAGCCGAAGTACAGCTCTGCACCGACAAACCTAAAGACCTAAGGAGATTTCTCCTGACAATCCTCCTTCGGTCACTGAGTTTGGCCCTTTGGCTTTGGACCACGTGATGAAACTGATGAAACTGGGAAACAGTTCCTAACTGGGATGGGCTGTTGTAAGCTAATGGATGTAAGCGACTTGGAGTCTCCTTGATGCGTTTTTTTTCACATGACATGACCTTGTCATACCTTGTCTTGTGATTGTACACGACACGAAGCGCACGTGGGATGCAGCTTAGCTAATAGTGACTTGACTTGGCATATGAACAGAGTCTAGCTGTCAACCCATTTTAGTAGAGCCTAAAGGGCTCTCGCGCGTCCCATGCTTGCCTGTCATTGGTTGCCAGGTAATGGTCAGAAGCCATGGACATGAAGGTCCACAAATCCAAGCACTTGGTGACCCGTCTGTCCATGTCGGGCAAACCCGTCTTAAGATAGTTAATCTACTACTACTACAACTACTGCTAATACTACTACTACTGCTACTCCTACTACTACTACTACTGCTGCTACTACTACTACAACAACTACTACTACAACACTGCTACTGCTACTACTACAACTACTACTGCTACTGCTACTACAACTACGACAACGACTACTACTACTACCACTACTACTACTGCTGCTGCTACTACTACTACAACTACTACTACCACTACTACCACTACTACCACTACCACTACTACCACTACCACCACTACCACTACCACTACCACTACCACTACTACTACTACTACTACTACTACTACTACTACTACTACTACTAC